GTTTCGTTCAAGATCAGATGTACTCGGTGTTCGTCCCGCCCCTCCTGCATTGTGATTGGACGGCTGGGTAAAAAGTGATAGTGACGAGCGCAATGTTTTTCCCAAAGCTGAACATTTTTCAACTCTAGGCGACCGGAAAAAAACGCTCAGCGCCCAGCGTGGAAAAGAAACTCAGCGCCTCGTCACACTCCTGCCGTTTTTACCAGCTTGGAAAAACGCGGCGCTCCCATTGGAATGAACTGAAAAAGACGCTAAATACTTAAAGTACAAGTTTCCGGAGCTCTGTGTGAAATAAAAAAAGAGGGTCAAAACTCGACCCAATATTCCCAGTGGCCTAAAAATACAGCTATCAGTAGGAAAAGAAAGGGCAGCACAAAGCCGTGTCACTGAAAAAAGTTCAGTGAATTTGCATTTTATGTGCCTTTTATAAACAAATGTTTTGATAATAATTTTTCATAGTTGCTCTGTAGTATTATTTACAGACTGAGCAGAATTGTGCTGTTTTCTAACAGTTTGGATTTGCAGCAAATAAATAAACTTTTTCTGGGGCGTTTTGTATTAATAGTTAGATATCGATTCCCACCCCTACTATATTTATACAAAGACAGGAATAACTTTATGTGTTATATCTGCCGAAATTACAACAGGTTCACACTGTTCACATCACTTTACTCCATTAAGCTGACGGTGTCGTTATGGTTGCGGAACGAATCGATTAATAAATTCGAATTTAATAATCGATTTTCGCTGATTACGTCAAATAGTTGTTGCACCCCTAACATATAGATAAAGGGGCAGAGTCAGTTCATTCAGTTTTGGAAGAGCAGTATGGAGAAGAGTAAGAAGTGAAAGAAGAGGAACAGTAGGAGTTGCAGGAGGAGATGGAATAGGAGGAAGATGAGGAGGTAGATTAGGAGGGAGGTGGAATAGGGAGGAGGAGGACGTGAAGAAGGTAGAGGGAGGAGGAGTAGGTGGTGAAGGAAGTGGAGAACAAGAATCTCTGGCCTGTCCCAGACCAAAGACAGGACGCTGGGGCAGAATAATTTGTTGTTTGGTGTGTTGTACTGTATAGTACACTAAGGAATAAGGAAGGAAAATGTGTGCAAATGTTTGCATTTGATATTTCTTTTGTGTTCATCATGTGAAAAGGTTTATGAGGGGGAGAACCACAAGCAATATTACTAATAACCAGTTTTTGCAGTATTGTTTTGAATTTGTCTCATCAATGTGTAAACCTGTGTTGTAGTGTGTGTTTTTTGAGGGCTTGTGTGTGTTATGTCTGAGTTTGGTTTTTCAGCAAGATTGAATGGTTTTGAGTGGAGAGCTTCATTTTGACCTGAAAATAGGATGTTTGGGGAATTGGGTGAGACGTTATGGATTTGTGTTTAGAGTTTTGAGAAAAAGAGGCATCATTTCAAGAAATGTGTTCAAGCAATTCATAAAAAACTGTAAAGGCAAACAATTATCCATGCGAAACTGATTGTTGCAAACTACCACATGCTCGCACACAATCACACAAAGCAGACAGCACTTTCTGTAAATGTATTAGCTGCTATTTCAAGGGCCTAACCCTTAAAGCATCATACTGCTGACTCTGTGTGTGTTTTCACATATATAAAGAAGCACATGTGATATATTGTGTGTGGTTTCTACAACATCTGTGCTTGTGTGTCTGGAAACGTGCGTTTTGTGATTCCATTCTTCCATTAATCCAAGTGATGCTGAGTTTGTGCAACATACGAGAAATACTGTGACTTTCTGAACTGTGTGTGTGTGTGTCTGTACATTTCTCTCCATCTCAATACTTCTTAGTGTGTCTCTTTTCTGTGTGTGTTCATGCCTGTTAGCGTGTGGCTGTGTGTGTGTGTGTGTGTGTGTGTGTGTGTGTGTGTGTGTGTGTGTGTGTCAAACCCCGCCATGACCAAGAGGTTTTCGCAGAAAATTCCGGATTTGGATTAAAAGCTACTTCATCACCTTCTTCTGTCACACACACTCACACGTGTGCACTGACACACACACTCACTAACTCTTCACTTCAAGTAGTTGATTATTTTTCATCCTTCAGACAAGAGCAATAAATCACCACAGAAGAAAAATCGAGGAGAAGGACAGAGCGAGAAAGAAGTAGTAATAGAAAAGAAATAAAAAATGCAAAGGAAGAGATGAAAAGAGAAAAAAGAGAGAAGAGGAAGAGATGAAACTCTTCCAGTTATCATATCAATTGCTCTGCAGTGTGTGTGATTAACTTTATTGGTTTTTAATTAAACAGTGTTTTGTGTGGTGACAGGCTTGGGTTTATGCCTGGTGTTTGAGCACACATTTCCCTGTGTGAGTGTGTGTGCATGCTTTTCATTGTTTTGGGTTAACTAAATATTCAGTAAACTACAGGTGGTGGGATCAGGCAAACCTAACCAAACAGAAAAAGCAAAGGAATCATTACCATTTAAATAACATTTGTACCCCATGTGTGTGTGTCCGTCGCTCTTCTCTCTTTCAGAGAGAAACACAAACACAAACACATATGAGTTCACCTCCAAAAGTGTGAATCTGCGCATGTGTGAATGACCTTAGTCACACTGAAAACAGAGATAAGACAAAGAGGTAGGAAGATATATTTACCATAATAACTAAGTCAGAAGAAAATCCCACTAATAGTATCATTACCAAGTGATGTCTAAGTATTTTGTATTTTAAATGTATTTATAATATAAGGAATTTATATGCCAATTTATGTAATATACCATCCATCCATCATCAACCGCTTATCCTGCGTACAGGGTCGCGGGGGGCTGGAGCCAATCCCAGCTGACATCGGGTGAAAGGCGGGGGGGTACACCCTGGACGGGTCGCCAGTCCATCGCAGACTTATGTAATATTGTATTTAGCATTTGGATTTGTAATATAGTATTTAGAATTAGTTTAATCTGCACCAATTGGTCTATGTTTAATGGTGTTATTTTACACTGTGTGACACAAAATTATTTACCATACCTAATTTGTGGGAAATGTGCTTATTCTCTTACTTGCCAATAACTATATGTAACTGTATGTAGCTACAGCCATCAGCTTGTTAACTTAGCAGAAAGTTTGAACAAGAAGAAACAGCTGTCTTTACAGCCACCTACCAGCACCTCTAAAACTCACTTCTTAACAGGTTATATCTTGTTTCATTAATCTGAACAAAAACCGAAGCGTAAAAACGTCAAGTTGTGGTTTCATAGGATGTTATGTGCTGGATTAATCCTTGGCGTTGTCACTCTCACCCAAAAAACATTTTTCCTCTTACACAATGTAAAATGTTAAAAACGTCCAGAAAAGCTGTATGATTAAATTACTCCCATTCATGTGTGCAGGGAGCAAACGGGAAGTCAGCCGGCTTCTTGGATGTGCATGTTCTCTACCAGCACGGCTGGAGGAGGAGTCTAGTGCACATGTTCCATGGGCCATGGGCCAAATATACGCGGACGCATGAGGAATCCTACAAAGTTTTCTTTGGTGTATGCGTTTAGTAAGCAACTTTCATAGGACTGACTGGCGTGCCATCTTTGAACACTGTATCCAGTTTTCTGTAATATATCCATGAGCCAAAATAGTCTGAATATATATATGTATAATACCCCCCATAAAATCACAGCATGTTGCATTTGTACATTTTCCTTAACAAACATATTTTTAAAACTGAACTTGCTGCAGAGCTATTGTTGGAAATGCTCTTACCCTGTCAGTAGACAAAGATCATTCAGATATACAGAATTATTATCTCTAAATTCATAACCATATTTCCTTGTTTTGGTCTGATATCAACACATTATGTGGATTACAATGAGTTATTGTTGTAACTCAAATGCGTTCCTGTGTGAGTGAGGAGAAGAAGATTAATTTCCTCTTCCTGTCAAACAGGAAACTGTTCAATATATGAGTGGCCTGAACAAGTCTATGACTTCCTGTCTGTCAATAAAAACACACAGGCACGCGCACACACGTACAGAGTCATTCACACATACACACACAGGTTGCAAGACATCAGTCAGGCCTCATGGTTATGAGTTTTCATCTCTCTTTCATTCTCCAGTTTCATCATTCTCTCGCCTCTCGTGCTCTCTCCCCCCGCTTCTGCTCTCTTTCTTTTCCAGCCTTATTGTTTTTCATCATCTCTCCATCGCCCCTTTATTCTGCTTCTCATTCATGCTCATTGCTTTTCTTTCTGTCTCTTTCTCTCTCACATCAACTCCCGCTCGCTCGCTCCTTCTCTCTCCCTCAGGCTAGCTGTGTTTATATTTCAGTCGTTTATTTCTACAAATGTCAGACAGTGTTTCTGCCCTCCGTCTATTGATCCACAGAGAGAGAAAGAGATGGGAAGAGAGAGGCAGGGAGAAAGAGGGAAAGGCAGCAGCAAGGCACAGAGTAGAAAGAGAGCTATACAGAAGGAAGAATGGGACATTCGAGTGAAAGGAGGAGTAGCTGCGAGAAAGCAGGAATGAGGTGAGAGAAGATAAGAAAAAACAGGATAAAAAGTGAGAAAGGTTGAGAGAACCTCCAGTATTTTAATCACTCTTTCTCTCAGATCACTGAGCAACCACAGACTGACTCAGGCTCTCCCCTCCTTTCTTCTGTTATGTTACCCTCTCGTTATACTTCTCGCTGCGTGCTCATAGTACAAATATCACTCCACCAACTAAAATATAGATACCAAGAAAAGAAAGAACAACGGTAGATAGACAGATCGATAGACAATCAGACAAAAAGCTGTGTTCACAACTTACTTTGCAGAATGCAATTTATCTTATTTTAGGTGGATGTTTATGACTCAATTCGTTATAGTAAAGTGTGAGGCAATAGTGTAAAAATTAAGATAATAAGTTAAGATTATAACTGAAGCAGTGTTCAGTTTATTTTTGCAGATAGCGATGGCTGTTTTCCTTACAGTAATCACAAAATGGATCTGTTTAGCCATAATATTGTATACAGTATAATACAGTATGTATGTATCTATGACCTACCTGCACATTTGGTCCGGGTAATGAGTGGTGGTCCAGATTTGCCTGTCCCTCCCTCTCCTGGTCTGGTTAGCAACACTCTGATCTCATACTCTGTGTCTGGGTCAAGATGCCATAACTTATAGTTGGGAGAGTTCACAGCGTGAGTCTCTGTCCAGCTGCCTGATGTCATACGGTACTCAACCTAAAGGGGAAAAAATGAAATAGTTATCTGAGAATTCAGTATTAATCAGAATTTATGCTTGCTATCAATGTATATGCTTTCAGACCCTATTCATCTTGTAGGATATAACGCAACTCATCTACCATAAAGGAATAGTTCAACCTTTAGTTAGAAATAGAAAATAATTTTTTGCCAGCCAGCCAGTGGAGACTCCAGAAAGTTACTGATCCCAGCCAAGAAAAAGTCTGGCACAAAATTCCCCTTCAAACAGCTAATTGTCATTTACAGTTGGGGTCTTTTGTACAGATGAAACAAACATATATATATATATATAAAATCTTAATTAGTGAGTTTTAGAGGTACTGTTGGACAAGGCTAGCTGTTTCCACCTGTTTACAGTATTTGTGTTAAGCGAAGCTAACTGGCTGCAGTAGCTTAATTTGTACTATATAGTCTCGTTCTCTGATCCTCTGCTGCAAAATAAATAAATGTTTTTCCCAAAATGCCGAACCATTCCTTTAAAACAGCTGTCATTGTAAAATGACAAAGTTAAAAAAAAATCGAGCATCTACCAGTACCTCTAAATTCTACTAATTCATTTAATCTGTATGTACATGTACTTTGGACAGAGATAGGCTTGGTGTTTCTGCCTATTTCGAGTGTTTATGCTAAGCTAACTGCCTACAGGCTCTAGCTTAATATTAAGTGTACAGGCACTAAATCTCAGCAAGAAAGTGAATAAGCATGTTTCCCCAAATCTTTTACTATTCCTTTGACATATGGCACTTAGACACCATTATATTTTCCGGCTTTCCCTGGAAGGATAAATGGTCATTGTTATGATCATTTATTGCCACTGATCAAAATCAAAGATTTATTTAACATTTAAGTAATTTTTAAGAGAAACGCATCGTCACTTCGATGTCCTAACTTACAGGGACTTACAATCGTACAAGTCATTGCTTAAAATCCATACAGTGTCTCATACTGAACACACCTCTTTCAGTATAATAGGTCCATCTCCAAATATGGAGTTAGCGTTCAGCTGAATAAGCAGATATGTAGGGCCGACACCGAGCAGCTGGGGTGGGGCGATGGGGTGCGGAGGCTCTGAGGAGAGAAAACAATTAACAAGATCATAAAAAGAGGTTGAGTGAAACAGAGTAAGACAAGGTCACAGCAAAAAAGAAGAGGGTGGTGGCACAAGGAATAGGATAGTGTAGTCACTGTGATGCAAAGCCTTGTTAGTGTAACAGCCGACGTGATATTTGTGGGCTCAAATTAATATTTTTAACAACCCACCAGAAAACAGTGACAACTATACTAATGGCACAGATTATTAGGGACATCCTAACAAGTTGCAACTGCACTGACCTGCAATATTATGACAACCAAGTAGTATGAATGTCACGGCGAACTAATTGGCTAAACATTTGTGGTCCTGCAGTGGAGCAGTAAGTACTATTTCTCAGTATACTATATCTCTAATCTTCATGTCAGTAGCTGATGTCGTTGATCAATCCAATATTCCTGTTCTTACTTTCCAATAAATAAGACTTTAATACTAGTTTCTATTTATAGAATGCTTTTCTAGATACTCAAAGACGCTTCACATAACAAGCTTTATATACATTTACTTTCATCTAACAGCTTGTTTCACGCATTGACACTCCTTTGCTGGGATGCTGAAGTTATAATGAACTTAATATTGATGCAAACTCGGCCTTCGCAGCTGCTTCACATCAAAAGCCTTCCACGTTCAAAACAAGTGACTGGAAGGCTTTTGCTGGGAAGCAGCTTCCAAAAATTTCTACCATAGTGGTCAATAGCCCTTTTCAGACATGGAATGTGTAAATGTCCCTGCATTTGTCTGTTAAATAGTTTTTTTGTCATTTAGACATATGTGTCTGTTATGTAAATGTTTCTTACAAGATTTACAGAAAGAGCCACAATGCCAACATTGTATTTGACAGCTGGTGCGAGAGAAGAAGTGCACTGAGTTTTAAAAGTGATAATGATAAGTTAACTTGGTCACACTCAGAATGATCTTATATAAAAAGGCTCTCCTAAGCCTTGTGGTTTATTCAACTGGCTTTATTTGCTTTCTTTACCTGCTGTGGCCTTTACGTTAATCTAACAGCATTTTGACTTGTAAACAGGTCGCTTGTCATTGTGTATCCAAATGTGAAATCAAGGGAAACAGTAAGGGATAATCACCTTTACCTACTTGAATATGACTGTATTTTAGAAAAAGTGCTATAATACGTAAATATTATTATATGTATGTGTAACCCAAAGTGTAAGAATGACTGAATGTGCAATAACAGTTTTATTTTAAATTTGATTGCCTATTCTGTTTTTCATTTAACATATGTCTTAAAAATATGCTCTCAGTGAATAAATAGTGTGTATGCACTTGTACGTAAATGTGACGGATGTGTGATGGTTCAGGGCCAGTCAGTCAGATCAGAGCTAACTGTCAAGCATCTGTGATTGACAAGCACAAACACACACTCACACAAACCTTAAAACACGCAGCATCAAAGATTTATCTACTTGACACATATACACACACAGATCAACACATGCATTAATCACAATCTCCACACACACACACACACTGTGGTCTATCTCACACACAGTAAATCATACAGATTTTATCGCTCTCCGACACATACTCAAACACAGCACCAGGCAAAACTGCTATCAGGAAAATGGAAAGGGAAAATGTCATTTTTTTAGCAATCCAGCTTCAATCATATCATATCAAAGTAAGTATTATCTAAATTATGTGTGCCCATGTGTGTTGCTGTGCATGTTGTTCTTTTAACAGTTATACTTTGCATTGCTGTCTCTTTGTGCATGCGTGTGTGCACGCGTGCGTGTGTTGAATATGGCTGTCAGAGAGGTACAGGCTGGGAAGTGTCTTTTTAGCAACAGATGAAACACCGTAGCTTGACAGCACATGCGTGTGCAAACGCAAATACGCACACACACACACACACACACACACATGCAGACAGAGTTGAATCCAGATAATGAATGTTGAAGCGACTTCAGAAAACCAACAACGTCAACAACGTGTCAGCTCAGAATGCCATCAAATAAACAAAGTAAACAAGCTGATGATTAACAAACAAATAAAGAAATAAAGCAAAAAAAATCCCAAGGATTATTCTTCATGCACACAAACAGCAGGTTTGTGTGCTTGCAGCCTGTGTGTTAACATGTTTGTGTGTTACGTTAGAAACCTATTGAGTATCTAAAAAAAAAAAAAAAACATACACATAAAAATGAAACAGTAAGGATTGTAAGTGGGTCATTATGTGACTCCAGAGAAAACGGGAGCTGAAACGGGTTCACGCTTTTGATTTTCTTCTTTTTTTTTGTTCCATCACTTGTCATTTGTACAGTTGACCTAAAAAAATATAACAAATCATCAATGGTGTTGTTTTGCGATGGGTTTGTTGTCACCATCTTTTTTATTATTAATCACATGTGTGAACCCTCTCATCATTTCAAATTTTATGGGTCAAATGTAAATGATAATAACAAATCAACATGGGGAAAACTTCAAATGTGCGTGTCGTTTCTGACCTAACCCGTCTGTGTGATTAATTTGTTTTCACTGTCACTCACTTTCTTTACTGATATTAGAATTAAAAAAAGCTCCTGGAGGCATTGGTGGAGGGTTTGGTAGATTAAAGATTTATGATGTAGTGAACAAACATTAAGACAGAGACAGACAGACCAATAGAAAGAAAGAGGAGAGACAGATATTTTGTTGGTGACTGGCACCCACTAGGCATGTTCTTCTTTGTTGTCCATCGTCAGCAACCTTGTCAATAAAGTTTAGCTTTCACAAACTGGGGCTGACATAACCATGGAGCTCACTGGAGGACATCTGACCTCCAGACCAAGAGAGGAAGTTGTGTATGAGTGTGCAAGTGTGTGTGTGTTTCAGTTGAATCGACAGCCAACAGTAGTAGTGGTAGTAGGTTTCTATAGTTCCATAACGCCTGAAGCTTCACCACCTGTCACTATAACTTAGAGAGTGTGTCTGTCTGTGTGTGTGTGTGTGTGTGTGTGTGTGTGTGTGTGTGTAATAGGTTAGAAAGGAGAAAGAGACATTTTAAAAGTGAACCATTACAGGTTTAAGACAGTTGTATAAATTCAAGTCAGTTGTGCCTCCTCCTGTGTGCGTGTGTGACAGTAATATTGCAGGATCTTTTTAGGCCATTGGTTGTGTGTAATGCATGATGGCACGGAGTTTGTGTATGTGTGTGTGAGCGTGATACGAGCTGGCGTGATGATGTGCTCTGTCACCGTATGAACCAGAGGGCAAGGCTTTATTAGAGCCTGGCTCTGACCAGACCACTAGTGACACACACACAGATACACAAACACACATTAAAACTCTCTCGTACCCCTTTGTCTCTCTCACGTACACAGCAATTATATACTGTTCATCTCCAGTAAAACATGCCATCATCCGTCCATCTAGTGTTGAAACGTAGGGCTGGGCATCGACATCCCCAAAACTGTAGAATAACAAAAGCTGGCATTGAATGTCTTGTTTAACTTGAAATGCTATGTACACTTACTGTTTGATCAACTAGTTCCTAATCTGCATCAAAATTATTTACGCAAACTTCTTGTATGGCTGCTTGTATGGCTGCAGTAGTTGTTTTTTTTGCATTTGCAGAAAAGCACGTTTATACTATGCTTCACCACACCTGAAACATGAGTATCATATCAGCACTAGAAAATGATAACCAGCCCCACTGCAACCATTAGCCACTTAAATGACTTGAATGAAAACTGAAAATTAATCAACAATGTGGATTTCATAATCAATTAAATGTTTAAGTCATTCATGAAGGAACTCAAATGTGAGAGTTGGCTGCTTTTTTCTCTCACATGTTTATATGTGCTGGTTTTGTTTCTATAAACTAAATATATCTTTTCTATTTGAAGATGTCACCTGGTGATCCGGGCATTTGTCACATTTTTCTGCCATTTTGTAGACTAAATGAATGATTGACTTATTGTAAAACTGACAGTTCTGATCTGTTCATTGTCACATTTCTGCTCTAGGAAGACAGAAAAATAGCTTGGTATAGGAATGATTGGGGAATCCCATGTCACACCTCTCATGCTCCCATGATGCACCTCTGTCTCTACAAAATGTGTTTCTTTTCTCTGATCTTGACAGCTCCGGCACACACATAGGGAGTCGATAATGACACATCTCTGTCATCTACATGCTGTAAATATCAATAGACTAGGCCTGTGTGTACCTGCACCAAGGCAATCTCATATCACCCTGGGGACCACTTTTGAGGTTTTGAAAATTAAACCTGGGTTACTGTCCAACTGCCAAGCCTTTTTAATATGTACAAGTCATATTTTGGCACTTCCCTATGATTCTTTCTTGCATTTTCCTGTTCCTACCAGATTCCTCCAGTAATCATCCCTCATTTCTATTCAATTTAAATTGTTAAATATTCAGCAAAAATATTAATAATGCAGCATAATTCTGTCCATATTCATGGCCATCAATATCCTGCAGAAACCTCAAATCTCTAACACGCATACTTTTCACGAAGTGAAATAAACATATTCCCTGTTCCTTTGATTTATCTCTGGCTCTCATCTCCCATCTGATATTTATAATAAATAAACATGAGGCTTCTCTCCTTCCACGTTCACACGTGCAATCCTCGTTCTTTTATTGTGATATCTTTCTAACAACCAGACTCTGGATCAATATTCATAATCACCAATATCCCTCAGAGCTCCAACAACATCTTTTCACAGATTGTGAACGTGGCTGGTTTTCAAGTCGATGCCTGGCTATGAAACACACACACAGCCCGATGTGTCTCCTTGAACCGGAATCTATTTTCAAATATGTAGATGGGTCTTATTCATGTTTAGACACATGTCTGCTGCTATGCGGATTTCTCATCTCTCTCCTCTTTGCCTACTCAATTTAAAAAAATAAAATAAAAAGATTTTCATGATACATAAACATTAGCCACTTATGTATTCTTACTAAATCAGTGAAGTCCTGCGGGAAAAGTGCGCCTCCAAAACCACCATATTTTCTTGACCAAAGGGAAAAAAACAGATCTATTCATTCCCAGTGAGGATTGCAACCCTAACCCTGGCAGTTTTAGTGTCTTCCTCAAGCGACACAGAGAGCTGAACCCCTAAACTGGACAGTGTAAGAGCTCCATTATCTGAGTCACACCAGCTAATATTCATATTCATGGTGCTCGCTTCTGCTTTGATTTTTCATTTCTTTCTCCTCTGCCATCTCCTATGCAGAATAATAAACATGACTCTGCTCAGCTGTTTACATATTCAGACATATTCCTGATTCTGATATGGATATTCTTGGGATAATGAGCAGACTATTTACATTCAACTTTCCTTCACCATCTCCACTTCTCTCTTTGCTCACCCTCCTCTGCCTACCATTTCTCCCCCCTCCTTTATGTCACTCCCGTATCATTCTTCCTGAATCTCCTTCGCCTTTACCCTCTCTCTGCCCTCCTCTCTATCTTTCTCTCTCTCTCTCTCTCTGGTAGATGAATTGAATATGTAAGCTATTGGATGTGAATGAATAAAGCATCCCGTCTCAAACACACATTGGTGACACCTTATTAACCACATGTCAGCTGCACATGACAGCCGGAGCACACAGAGTTTCCATTTCCACACACACACACACACACTCACAGAGAATATGCACACGTACAAACACAAGGCTGGCATATGCACATCTGCATACACTGACACACAAACTCTCCTCATTAGGCTATATTGTATTAGTGACTTCCATTTTATCAGTCAGACACAGTGAATGTGCATTTGATTGGAAGGACATTTGACATACCAAACGTTACACACATTGAAAAGTTACTCATTGTACAAAATATATAACTGGGTCAAGAAAATAATTTTGGTCAACAACAGGGTCATGGAAATATTCACATCAACTTCATAATTGACCATATGCTAAATGCCTAACAGTGATAGTTCAGTAATAGCTTAGCAACCACAACTAGGCTCAGTGGGTCTGTCAAGCTTTGTTTTTCAAAATGGTAAAGTAATGTAAGAGTGATATTTATATATGTATTTGCCTTTCCAAAATGAAAAACACATGCGCAAAAGCATAAAGAATGGATTAAACAGTGTGTTTATATCCTACAACTTCAACTGCAAACATTAGCATGTCTGTCTAACTAGCTTACTACATTCACTAGTATAGTGTTTACCTCAAAGAAGCTAGCATTCTATTAACTAACTATGTTAGTTTGTGGGGTTATGTTTCCTATAGCACATCCCCTTAGTAGCATTAGCTACTGTGTGGAAGCCGGTCCTGGATGCTATAGGAGTTTAAGCTAACATTAGTAACTCTATCTTGCTCTTTATTGGATTTGGCCAATCTAACATTCCAGGGACCAAGTATTGTAGTACTCGAGACCGGTCTTGGTCTCAAGACCGGTCTTAAGACCACTTTTTGATGGTCTTGGTCTCGTCTCGGACTCAAACGCATTTCTACTCGGTTTTGTCTCATTCTCTGACACTGAGGACTCGGGATTTTATTTCAAGACCAGTCAAGACTATAACTTTGGGAAAATCAATAAATTGCTTTTGCATTGGCTGATTTATTTGTTAACATCCTAACTTTGTTTGGATGTAAAACGTATTGCTTCAAATGCAACCAGTAACCCTAATTAAAAATGTGTTGTTCCCGTTAATCACTGTCACCCCTCCCTGCGATGCTTACGTTGCTCTAGTGTTTGTATGTGGGTGTTTTAATGGAAATGTGGATCTTTCAGATCAGTTTGAGAAGTACCTATGATCTCGTTCCACATTTTATTGTGGGGAACTGGTCTTGGTCTTGACTTGGTCTCAGCCGCTAAAAGTCCTGGTCTTGTCTTGGTCTCGATAAACTCTGGTCTTGGTCTTGACTTGGTCTCGGTTTGGGTGGTTGACTACAACACTCCAGGAACCCATTATCCAACACAGTGTTAATTTTACCAAACAAATCTGTTAGTCCTCATCTTAAAGGCCTTTTCTCTTGTAATGTTAAAGTGAAACATACTGTTCCAATATACAAACAACATATATGTACAAAAATGCATAAACCTGAACTGTCTTGGTCATCCTAATAAAGGCTAGGAAGCCAAACAGCGTTATATTATAATGAAATAATTTCCCCTTATCATAAAATACTAGTAGCTCTGCACTGCAATATACAAGCAATGCACTTTCTTTATTTCTGTGTCTTCTATATGCATCATCAACTGGTGAGGATGCTGACTTCTTGCCTTTTAGTCTCAGTCTTTTAGCATGCTATCATGTGTGTATCCATCAAGAGCATATTAATGATCCCTTTTATAGGGTTTTAAAACAAGTCAGCTGGAAACATTAAAAAGTCAGCCAGAGACTGTGTTTTCAACCAACTCATGAAGCTAAATTAGCTAGCTGATTACCAGCTAATAAAATCTGCTCTGGACAGTGTCATTTCAGAGGGCAAATCTGTCAATGTCTAACGTTACATCTGTCGGACATCAAGGGCCCATAGTTTCATAAATTACTAAAAATGTTGAGTTCTCATTGTAAACTGTACTATGTGCAGTTATGGGGCTTAGCAAACAGTCAATTGGCTTGCAAAAATACTGAACCATCTTTGATACTTTCCACTAAAAGCGATCTACTAAAGCAGAAAAATCTCCTAAAAGTTGTAATATTAAATATTAAACCAGATAAGATAACAGGAGAAAACACAGAGCTAACTGCAAAACAATCAAATAACCTTGAAAATATTTTTTAAATCCTCACCTCTGACAATGAGACCCGCAAAGTTAGACACCCCAGAGCCACGCTCTGATTGGGTGACGCAGCGGTACAGATCTTGATCCTGATTAGTGACTTCTTTGAGGTGGAAGGAGGCGGCGAACCGTCTGTGGTTGATGTTTTTGGTCTGAGCCACAGGAATATCTTCTCCGTTTCTCCTCTGAATCAGCGGGAATCACACAGACAGATCAGGTGCTGCAGAGGCTGGTGGAGGGTTAACTGCCTAGTTCAAGGTCACAAGGCAGAGCTGGACCACACACGCCCAGGCGCACAAACACATAGACACACTCACCCCTCCCCTCTGCCTCAATGACAGCAGATTTGAAGGTCATGACTACAATAGAGCCATAATGAAATCAGAGGCTGTTAAACTCTTACTTAATCATGTTAGCTGCTAGGATGTATGGCCTCGAGTCGCTCTGGGTGTGTGTGGATGACACTTTATTATTGGATGTACCAGTCTTGAGGGCGGCACATTGAATGTGATGCTTCATCTCTTTGCGTTGCAAAGATATATCTATATAAATATATTTGTATTTATATATTTGTTAGATACTGCACATTAATCATTATAAGAATTAATGTTAAATGTTTTATATATCCAAGGGGAAATGGCCGCCCTGAAAAGGTGAATAGTCAAAGGGTTGGTTTATCCATCTCATTTACCTATAGTGGTATCTAGTCAAGATTTTGGTTTTGTTTGCTCTGTTTTGAAATAACTATCTTTTTGATTTCTGGCCCCATCCATATAAAAAACATTTGTGTTGCTCACAGCATCGGGCATTTAAAAACCCTGTCAACTCTTTTCATGAGGACTATTTCTTAGGCCGAAAGCAGCTCCAATGAAAACTGTTCACAGTGTATTTTGTGGATTATTTAGTAACCGATTATCAAGTATTTCTGGAATGAGATGATGCTGTTAAATTTTGTAAATGTCATTATTCAGCACTGTGAGCAACACAAATTAAATTCCATTCACCTCCACTTTATTCGTGAATAGGCAGAAATCTCAGAAACTGCAATTTTAAAACCTTGGCAAATCAAACCAAATCTATCTTCAAGGCAAGATAGATACCACAAGGCGAATAAGAAAATACAGTGTGTTGTACTATTGATGAACAGCCCCTTTCAACCCTTTGTGTGTGTGTATGTATGTGAGTGAGTGTGTGTGTGTGTGTGTGTGTGTGTGTGTCTAGCTGTACCTGTAGCCAGAGTTTATTGTTCGATGTGTCTCGTCCTGTAGCAATACACTGAAATGTGGCGTTTTGACCGGCGTTCACCTCCACATCTCCAAGACGCAGGAAGTGAGGGGATTTATCTACAACAAACAAATGAAGAAAATTAGATTGTACAGCAAGGTTATATGTATTTGTATTTTAAAATGTTTTTGGTTTCATTTTATTTTCATTTGTCTGTTCACAGTGGAAATGAGGTTACGGAGCCAGAGGGAGTTATGGATACAAACAGGTCGGGTTATCACAAACACACTGCATAATTTTACAATATTTCCTAACCCTAAGGAGTATGCTCATTATTACTGCGATTAGATTTTACTGGAGCCAGATGAAATCACAGCACAGTGCTGCACGGCCACTGGGAGGTAACATAAATGTCACATCCAGTATATATAATTCGCATAGCTCCCAATTCTCAACAACCGTGCTAAGATATGAAATAAGCCTTTTAGACCCTGAAGATGCAGTTCAGCTATGACATTTTTATTCCAGGAAGGTGATTGCAATCATAGATAGCAGCTACTATGGTGAATGAAAACACACACACACACACACACACACACAGGCTAGCACACATGCATTCATGCAAACACGCGTGCACACACAAACCTGTGTGTCCAGAAATGCAGCTGTGAGAATGAATGCTTCCACTGTGGAGACTAAGTACTAATTCCTTTTCAAATACTTGCTCCTTCCTATAAGGAGTCCTCTTCCTCTGCCTTTAAAAGACTGGGGCTCTTCTTTTTATATTTTCTCAGATTCCAGGTCACTTTATTGACCATTGATTAATGTGCAGGAATCTCTTTCAGAGACATATCGCTAACTTCTGACAGAGACAGGGACAACAGGGATGCCAGGACCTCACAAAGAAGTTCAAGACTAATAAATGGAATCTATGACCAAGCAAAATTGTCCTGCTACTAGATACATGACAAAAAAGGAGTAATTGCTTCCTTTCCAACATAGGGACCCCCAGGAACCTGCCTATGGCTCAAGATTAACAGACCCTTCTGTTAACCGTAACAGTTTGTCGTCACAACTCCTTTTGGCCTCCAGAAGTAAGGAAACACTCAAGCGAAGGAGAGAAGAAGACCTGAGACGTAGCGAGAATTTAAAATGGATCGCAGTCCTCATCTCTTTCCTGTCAGTGTGAGACAAGAAAGCCACTGTTCAATGCTGTGTGTGTGTGTGTGTGTGTGTGTGTGTGTGTGTGTGTGGGTTAAAATGAGAGAGAGAAAGTGCTGAGTGGTCAGAATCTTCTCTCTCTATGATTGGCCTAATACTGTCTCATTTCCCGCTTCACTCTCTCCTATTCCCTCTTTCTCTCTGTTTCTCCTTCTCACAATCTCTCACTCCCTTTTTATTTCTCTCATTTTCCTCTACGACTTGCCTTTCTCCTCTCGCTGCATCCCTCCTCTCCTGTGTCACCTTCCCACTTATCTACCCATTCAACTGCAACAGAAACCATCCCAGGTACAGTCTAATTAGTGGCCAAAGCTATCAGCGTCTATTCAGCGAGCTAGGACTAATTGCTGGCATGCTAATGACTCACCGCACGGGTAGCTGAGCACCTGAATGTCGTCAATGGCGATGAAGCCGGCTTTGCTGTCCGAAACCTCTGCTTCAAATATGACCTGAGAAAAGAGAGAGAGAGAGATTTAGCTATTACTGTTTTCATAATTACCAATACTATATAGCATCTTTTTAATATCAAACTACTAATTTAAATAGAGAGTCTCATTGATCCAGATTTCGTTTTCAAGTGAGACCTGTGCACAAGATTAAAAATCTACACTATAAGCACACACAAACACACAATTTATATACACCAAACAGTCGTTCCACATGTAAGAAAACAATTACAAGTAGCAATTAAAATGCTGGAGTATAAAATATACAAAAGAAATGACAGAGCATTAAATACTTTTGGATTGCTTCTATTTTTTATTTGACTCTTGAATTTGTTTGCTGTTTAATTTGTTCTGCTAAGTGCACTTGCAGCGTGTAGTTTTAAAAATAATGCTTATTAAATTAGAATATCCGGTCATTGCTGATCCTCCATTAGCCTGTAAATGGAAATACAATAACAGCAAAACACTGGAAATGCCGTTCCTGGCAGAAAACAGTTTGGCACTGTTACCAAATCATCAACTTTTTCTTGTTGTTACCAAATCAGAAATTGTGACTGTGAACTGAGTTTTGGATTAATTCTGAGTGCACTGGAAGCTGCAAAGTAAGACTACTGCCATTTAAATTTGCTGTCAAAGTGATGGATCCAATCTAAGTTGTCACATGATAGATAGAAAGTCAGTGACAGCTCCAGTGATGTGCATTAAACTGGATAAATACAAAGCTGCCATCCTTACTGCTGCTGGATTTATACATTCTGGCAAACAAGCCAAGGAAGGATAAATGAGATACTTCCTGTTGGATCATAGTAATCTCCTTTGGTACACATAAAATGGTTGCCAGAGAAATGATAATAAGTAATGAAACCAAACGCGGTACAGTAGAGAATGAATATCTATTGTTCCCATCCCATCCATCTCTCTTTGATTTCATTCTTCTCTTGACTTCTTTTGCAACATTTACATCTGCTTCTTATCTTGATATGACTACATTGTAAACCTTCTATACCTATATACAGGGTACCCCCAGGATTCTCAAAGTTGTATTAAAGACTTTTTAAGACCTTTTTAATACCACCTAGGGTGAAATTTAATGCCAACTTCACTGCTGTGTAATGGAAATCTGTATGAATTTTAAGCCCGAGAAAATTATTATTGAGTATAGATTATTATTAAGTTAACTGAATTTAATAAAACATTGTATTATAATACTCACATTCATATTTAATAGATTTTTGTCTGTACTCTGATAACATAAAATGAATCAAGGACGTCACTTTGTGTTGGAAAGTTGTGGGGACAATACAATATACTTTGCTCACATGCACAATATTGGGTTCATGAGAACAAGACAAGAAGATATTTTAACACTATTTTGATTAAATATTCAATACTGAAATATATAACTGGGGGGACTGGGGGTCCTCCCCTAGAAAATTTTGAGAATTAAGCACTTAATTTCCTGCATTCTGGAGACATTTCCTGCACCAATTTATGGTAGAATTAATAGTGCAGTTGAGTTGTTACAATTAGTTACACCTTGGCTTGATAAGGTAATGTAATGTAATATAATATGCAAATGCCAATTGCTTCATTGATTAGTCATCCTGTTCTGGTGCATCTAAAGGTTGCTTGAAATATAGTATTGGCTTGATCTGGGTGACGTAGTTTAATGTGTGTTAGCATGTTGGACGTTTCCATTCATATAATGTTAGCCTACAACGATGGCGAAATGCAGACACACAGACACGGCCTCGTCTCATACACAACTGTCTATCCGTTGCTGTGATAATGTTAACTGACCAGGAACCCTCTGCATGTCTTCCAGTTCCGCTGTTCCATTACCGCTCGCCATAGTCTGACTGACTCGCACACTGATCCGCTTGTTGTGCAAACCTCCGCGCCACTGCCTTCTATGCCCAAACTTGTCCATATCTCTGGCCTTCTGAACTTCAGACACTTGCCCATTCTGAGTCGACCAGCTAACGTTAGCTTGTTAGTAGCACTTCAGAGACATTGTTTTCTTGCTAGCGGTGTAAGCATTCATCGGCCCAACACTTTGGTTCATATTAAAATAAAACAGCTACTGGATTGATTGCCATAATAGTGTATAGGCCTCCAGATATTTATTCATTCAGTACTTTGTGCTTTGCGCCAAATTTGCAAATGTTAGCATGCTAACTTGCTAAGCTAAGATGGTGAACATGCTGAACATTACATATACATAACCTACACAGCTATAACTAAACATCAGCATGTAATTGTGAACATGTTAGCATGCTGACATTAGCATTTAACTCAAAGCACCACTGTGTACAAGCAGAGGCTCACTGAGCTGCTAGCGTCGCTGCAGACTCTTGTTAACTTAAATTTCTGGTTGATAAACTGGTATGAACGCATGTGACTACCGACTATGAGTTTATTTATCTGTCTTTCAACACACAAAAATGGATTAATGAGTCGTTTTTAATCAAATAAGTGAGAAAAACGTGAGGAAAGTTGTTGTTTCTATTTCTCTGAATTTCAAGTAGGGTGCTAGTAATGCTGCCATTTACCACTATCTCAGTTCATCAACTCATTTATATCTTCTACCCTCCTTCTTCATTGTACATACATCAGCCCTCCAACTCCCTACACTCTTTATTTTTCCCACGATCATCCCTCTTTCTAACCCTAACTCCTCTCTTTCTGTCTCTCGCTTGCCGTATCTATTTTCTAACAGTGTTTACTCAGAGGGGAGCCCTGTAATGAGCAGAGAGGAGGTCGCTATCAAAAAGAGACACAGGGAGAAAGAGAGAGTGAGGGGGTGAGCAGTTGTTGTCATTCATCACCTGTAAGAGGAAATCTGCCGTGAACTGTTTACCCATAGCTTATCATCCCCTGCTTGTCACACTCTCCCCCTCACTGTCTCCCTCCCCTACCAATCTATCTTGTCTCTCTCTCCTATCATCTTTCACTCATAGCTCACTGCGGAGCACAGCACAAAGACATCAGTTGACTTTTAATACCTTCATCTCTGTCTGCCTGAAGACCGGCTTGCCTGGCTGTCTGCCTGCCTCATTGTTTTTTATTATAACCACGTTTGTTTTGGTAGCTATAACATGACCTAATGACTTCTTCTCTTTTGTGTGCACATGTACGTGTGCAAATGTATAAATTTCATCTTTCTGAGAAATCCACTTTTTGTATACATTTCAGTATAGTCCTTGAGGGCAAGTCCATGCCATAAGCAAATTGCAAGTCAGTTGCAAGTCTTTCAGGTCTCTGAAGATTGACTAATACAATGACACCGCATTTGAATCATTTGTTTTCTTGTACAAGAGTACAGTAAAAAGACTTTTTAATACAACAGAGACCAAGTCTGTTCAATAATATTCTTAATAATAAACTCTTCATAGTGTGTGGTTAAGGGCTGTTTTAGAAACAACTTTTCAAACATAAAAAACATGAACAATTTAGCTAAAAAAACAAGCTGCTGATTACTACATTATATTATGTTTGAATCATCACCTGAATTTTCTGTTTCACTTTATATAAAGACAATTCTACCATAAATTGGTGCAGTGAAACATGACTTCAATGCCAAAAGATTTGTCTTGAGATTTGAAAGCAACAAAATTCAAACATCAAGTTTAAATTACAATGATTTAAATATTAAAGTTAAATCATTGTTCAGTTTAAACTTGATGTTTGAATTTTGTTGCTTTCAAATCTCAAGACAAATCTTATGGCATTGAAGTCATGTTTCACAGCAGTCAAGTCTCAATTTTCTGACTTTGTCTCAAGTCTATTGCTCTGTTAATGATCATGTATTTCAGCAAGTAGTCTGTAAATGATTTCCACAGTGCCTAGGGTCACTGCAGCCTGGATGCATGTCATTGCTCTATTTGTTTCCTTGTAGAATTTAATTATCAGCCACAGGACCCTTTGAATTCTGTGATCCATGGATCCCGTGGTGGTCGTCTCTGAGGAAACCACTTCAATCAAGCAGGTGTCAAGCTCATCAGTGTGAGGCAGGATTACTGATAGCTTGGATTTACAAGTTCTCACATGGGCAAAGCAACTCTGAAAAGTTGAAGGCTGAGGACTGACATATCATCACTCAGAGAAGGGCTGGACGATAGCATACATCCCCTTATCAAACGATTGCATTCATCACTTTGATGTATGCATGTATGGGGTCTGAATCAAAATTGTTTTAATTGGCAGGCAAGGCGTGTTTATAGTTTGAACCATCTCAGTCATGTCAGCTGGGTTTACACACCTGCTTTCTCTAAGCACACTGTAATTTAAGGTCACCATCCTTTTTATATTTATGTGAGAAAGTTGTGCTTGTATGACCCAAAACTTAAAGTTAAGCTTAAGGTTGAAATGGCAAAAACAACAGTGAGATTTCTATTAGCAATGGAAAATTTAAAATAAAAAAGAAATAAAGACAAAACTATAATTAGAAGGTCTATCTAAATAGGGCTGCGTGGGTGTGTGTGTGTGTGTGTGTGTGTGTGTGTGTGTGTGTGTGTGTGTGTGTGCGCATCAATTCTTGTGTGACAGTGTGTGCATGACTACATGTGTCTGCTTAGTCTTCCCCTGGTGAAACCAGTCTCATTACAACTCAAGCTAAAGTGCTAACACAGAAACATGTTTGAACATGAAAAAATAGCTCCATAACCTCAAATCCAATAACCTGATTCATAGCTTGAAAAACCTACATAAGCCTCAGCAAACCTGGATGATTATGTTCAATTAAAACATGTTGACACACGAGTTTCATGCTGGTGATCTCCTCCCATAGTCACTGAGGGCCATTTGAGCTCCAGATGGGCCATTTGGTGGATGCTTTCACACTTGGCCTTACAGTAATAATATAGGGTCCCCAGGCTATGTGTTAACATGAAGTGTGTGTCTGTGTGTGTGAGTGTGCCTGCTAGGACATTTGGAAACAAGCTATCCCACAACATGCACACATCTGTCACCACTAGCCAACAAACACCCACAGATGATGCTGATTGACTATCATGAATTTAAGAACAAAGAAGAAACATACAAGCACGTGTATTCAGTAGAATCCACTTCCACTGTCCTGCAATAATTTCAACCTCTTAGAATCTTATAATGTTCAGATTTTGAGAGTGTGTACAACAAGACACAACAACAATGACAACAATATCAATGTCCTGCACGGTGACCACTACGCCTACAAACACAACGCATACACACACGCGCAGCTCTTTTTTTTCAGTCTCTTTGTAGCCTTATCGTCACCTCCTGAGCCTCAGTCAACACAAATAAATCAGATGCTTGCCTCACAGCATGTGTGTGTGTGTTTGTATTTGTGTGTGTTTGTGTATGCACATGAACACAAGTGGAAATAAAGAAACATGTACATGATTAAGGAATCACAGCCATCATTAGTCATTTAAGGAGTTACCTGATATTCATTAGGCCAAAATGTGGAGACGGCGAGTTCGGCTCTCAGCCACTCTTTCCCTGAAAGACAAGATTACAGTCAACACAAGCGAATAAAATCACAAAAGTGTCAGAAAGAGTTGTGAAATGAGAGTCTGAGTGGTGCTCTGAGCCTGTCTTTACCAGTGTAGGACGTCACGTTCCATATAGGGTTGGCCAAGGGACCCTTGTTAACCTAGAAATGACAGAGCACAATGTAAAACAAATTAGTCCCAAATAGTTCCCACAAAAAAGAACCTCCTTTGAATTTCTTGATGCACTCAAAGATCTCCTTTTCATTACAATGAGATGCATTTAATTACAAATAATAATAATAATAATAATAATGACGATAATAATGGCACGGATTATAACACGTTTAAGTCTAAATCATGCTTGTCTCATGGTCAGAGGTCAGGGTCAGCTACACAACCACCTTTAGGCTGGTGGGAACTCTGTTTTGCAGGGAGGATTTTTGCAGTAATGTGGGTTTGACTTTGTGTCATAAGATTGAAGGGCAGTCTTCCTACTCATAATGCTCCCTTGCTGCTCAGAACCAGGGATCTATCTTCTGTTAACGTGTTTTCTAACCACTTCAACAAATCGTACAAAAACTTAGGGTGAGGAGAGAGGGGATGAGAAGTCAGGACTGTTGTGGTAACAACTAAAGTGGAGGGAAGACTGGATCGTTGCATCACAAAATGCAGCTGTGCTATATATTCCCTTCCCTGAGTGGATCCCCCACACTTTGTACTTTGACAGATGTCCAATAAAATAAATAATATAATCTTACACAACAACCTAAAAATAAAGACTTAGAGTTTAAAAGTCAATATTTTTTGTGAAAACAATTGTTAATACTTAATTAGGCAAACTCAAACAAACTATTGGTTAAGACAAGGCAGTCAGTAGCCTCTATCGTATGCTAGTTGCATTACTTGTGGCTGTGTTTCACAATATCCAGAGCACATTACCCATAAATCCTGTTTTGTTTTGTTTTAAACCGAAGGGGCTCTGTTCACCATCTGCTATTGTGACAAACCGAAAGCTTTAACACAGCACTTGAAGTCATCTAGAGTTGCTTTTTGGAGGAAAATAATATATAAAAATAAATAAATTCAATGCAGCTTGTGTCTCATGAAATCAAACCTCACCTCACACACTGTAAACTGCTATGTAGAGGCCAGATGGTCTTGTTTGTTTACAGAATTCATGTTAATGTTAATGTTAATTAATGTCTCAAAATTAAGAAGTTAGGGACAGATTGTTTACTGGGCAGGTAATACCATGTAAATGGAACCAGCACAATCAGTCGCAGTCATTAAAGACAAACTATTACATTCTGTTTTCTTATGTTTATTCAATAATTACCTTCACCAGGACGTTGAGGGTGCCGGGGCTGGAGCCGTCAGGGCTGGTGAGGAGATAGTTGAAGTCGATGCAGTGAGTGTCGTTCTCCTTCATGACCGGCAGCTGAAACCTGGCCTTCTCCCCAACATCATACTGAGAGACGTCTACGTACATGTAGGAACCTGGACACAGATGTGGAGACAGTCATATAAAAAAAGCAACATTGCATATAATTCGAGGTGCATTGGGTTCACAGTGTTTATGAATCTGACCTGAATAAAGACCAATGAATCAGCTCGTTTTTGTTTGCAGCTGTTTGTGCTTACATCACATAACTGCTGAAATACAATGCTTGAACAGACTAGCAATGGCACCCGTAGGTAGCTAGTGTCGACTCCGTGATTATTGTGACTGGACTTGGCAAAGAGCAGGTTGTGTGCCCAATGCCCATTGCCTGTGTGCGTGTACCTACAAGAGTAAACCAACTCTCTCTGCTGCTGTGTGGCTTAAAAATAATCCACATTGCAGACATGAACAGCTAAAACAGACTGCTGCAACAGTTGTGTGAATTCCCTCTATTTTTTTTCGTGATAGAACTTCACTGCCTTGCACGTTTTTTAAGACTTGCCAGGTCTGTAAATTTCAGTTATCATAGTTTATCTAAATTAAAACCTTTTGTTTATACTCTGCAATATATTGTATACTGCACAGTGTGGTTTTGATGTCTTAATTAGATACTATTTAGTTTTTTTTTCTTTATCACAAATTGGTTTTGATGTTTTCTGCACAATCTCGTAGTGCTTGTCAATTTAAATTTCACTGCACATCCCGTGGTTTGCATAAAACTCTTTGAATCTTAAATCTAAATCACCCCTTACCCAGTTTATCTCTGATAGTTAGTACTACATATCCATGTCTGTGTGTTGCCTCCAAATGTACGCCAAGGCACATTACAGTAAGCCAACAAGGGAACCAGGACTTTCTCCTGTGAGAACATTGTGAGTCCAATAAAACTCCAACCTGTGAATGTTGTCTTCTTTGTTTGGTCTTCCTTCTTTGACACTTTAAAGCAGTTTCTTGTCATGGGAAAAAAGCCAAAAGAGCCTTTATTCTTTCCCTTTATGTTTGCATGTCTTTACTCCTGTTTCTCTCTCCTCTCATTCTCTCTTTTGGGCTTACAGTACAGGAATCAGTCATCAGTCCCCCCAACACATAAAACAAACCCCTGTTACTGCAACTGTGTCATTTGTTTCTCCTTTATGATTGTGGGGCTTTTTCTCAGCAAGCCAACAACAAATAAACACAGGAAATGGAAAAGAGAAGAGCAATTTCTTTCTTTTACATTCCTCATTTTATGTTCTTATGAAATCACATAATCACTTATTTTGTTTTCATTATGTTCCTCCTTTCTCTGCTGATTTCAAACATAAATCCATTAGTTTTGTTATTCTAATATGATGGGACTCTGTCACTACTGAAGACAAAGAGTACTTTAGGTACTTTGTTATGCCTACTGTCACTGCTGAGTACTATACCTTGTACCTTTACAGTACTAGTTGACTGCAGGAAATGGAGCTTGAAATAATACATAATCTGGGTGTGCTGACAGGACAGTCAGTCAGCCCATCCAGATGTTTCAGTAATCAGCTCAGACCTCAACCAGATGTTGTCCCAGTGAAATATGATGAAATGGGATCCTTTCCTGCCTCATGTCTAATCTCACAATCTTACATTAGCACAACAGAGAGAAAGCAGCCATGATAGCATTTAATTCAATTTGTAGAACTGAATAGAATAGAATTAAATAAAACTAGAGCTGAAACAATGCATCGATTAATTGGTAGGTCAATCTCTAGACACGTCTCTTTAATATTGAGTGGAAGTTGGGTACAGTGCCGAAGGAGTGGCAGACTGGGGTGGTGGTTCCCCTGTTCAAAAAGGGGGACCAGAGAGTGTGTGCCAATTACAGGGGTATCACACTTCTCAACCTCCCCGGTAAAGTCTACTCCAAGGTGCTGGAACGGAGGGTTCGGCCGACAGTCGAACTTCAGATCGAAGAGGAACAATGAGGTTTTCGTCCTGGTCGTGGAACAACGGACCAGCTCTTTACTCTGACAAGGATCTTGGAGTGGGCCTGGGAGTATGCCCATCCAGTCTACGTGTGCTTTGTAGATTGGGAGAAGGCGTATGACCGGGTCCCACGTGAGATACTGTGGGAGGTGCTGCGGTAGTATGTGTTGAGGGGGGCCCTCGGGAGTAAGTCGGACTCTTTCCAGGTGAGGGTTGGCCTTCGCCAGGGCTGCGCTTTGTCACCAATCCTGTTTGTGATATTCATGGACAGGATATCGAGGCGTAGTCGTAGTGAGGAGGGTTTGCGGTTCGGTGGTCTTGGGATCTCGTCACTGCTTTTTGCGGATGATGTGGTCCTGATGGCATCATCAGTCCGCGACCTCCAGCTCTCACTGGATCGGTTCACAGCGGAGAGTGAAGCGGTTGGGATGAGGATTAGCACCTCTAAATCTGTGGCCATGGTTCTCAGCAGGAAACCGGTGGAGTGCCAACTCCAGGTAGGGAATGAGTCCTTACCCCAAGCGAAGGAGTTCAAGTACCTCGGGGGTCGCTTTACCGCACCGTTGTGACGAAAAGAGAGCTGAGCCGTAAGGCAAAGCTCTCGATCTACTGGTCAGTTTTCATTCCTACCCTCACCTATGGTCATGAAGTCTGGGTCATGACCGAAAGAACGAGATCGCGAGTACAAGCGGCCGAAATGGGTTTCCTCAGGCGGGTGGCTGGTGTCGTTCTTAGAGATAGGGTTAGAAGTTTGGCCATCTGCGAGGAGCTCAGAGTACAGCCGCTGCTCCTTTGCATCGAAAGGAGCCAGTTGAGGTGGTTTGGGCATCTGGTAAGGATGCCTCCTGGATGCCTCCCTAGGGGGGTGTTCCAGACACGTCCAGCTGGGAGGAGGCCTCGGGGGAAGTCCCAGGACTAGGTGGAGACACTGGCCTGGGAACGCCTCGGGATCCCCCATTCAGAGCTGGTTAATGTGGCTCGGGAAAGAGAAGTTTGGGGTCCCCTGCTGGAGCTGCTGCCCCCGCGACCCGACCCTGGATAAGCGGATTAAGATGGATGGATCTCTGACAATCAATTAATCATCATTTCTCAAGCAAAAACGCTAAACATAGGCTGGTTTTAGCCTCTCAAAGGTGATGATTTGCCGCTTTTCTCAATTTTATATTGCTGCAATTTTAATGTCTTGGGGTTTGGACTGTTGTTCACATTAAAAAAGTGATATGAAGACATCACTCCGGACTGTGATGGGTATTTGTTAAGTATATGACATTTTATAGGCTAAGCGATTAGTCGAGTCACTGAAAAAATAATTGATAGATTCATCAATAATGAAATCAATTACATTGTTACTTGAAGCTCTTAATAGAAGAGAAGAGGGCAAAACCGAACATTATAGAGTAGAACAGAACAGAAAAGAGCTGAACACAACAGAACAGAATAGAACAAAACAGAATACAGTACAATAGAACAGAACAGAACAAAGTTGAACAGAACTTCATAAAATAAAAAAGAACATAATATAACACAACACAATATCTTTGCTCAAGTCAAGAAAACACGGCACTCCATCCTAACTGGTTAATTGTATTTGCATATTATACCATACACAATATGTTTTATACAATGAGCTGTAGGACAATAGTGATTATCACTTATTGTTTAGCAAATCTACTGTGAGAAAACACTTCTCTCTGCAGAATACAGCAGAATATAACAGGCTTTCAGCTACTGAGCGTTGCATGAACACACACACGCACATCAGCTTTTCAAAGCCAAACACTGTATCCTAGTTATTGGATTGGCCTTTCCTCTGTCTTGATCTCTATTCTCCTCTCTTTCTCTTTGATTACCACCCCACCATCCGCCTCTACACACACACACATACATGTATTTCAACCATAACAGTATTAGCATAATCCTACTTCCTGTTTGTGAATGTCACCAACAAGACAAAAAATGAGAACGTCCAAACTGGACTACAGCCAATCTGACCAGAAACAAGACTAGGCTAGAACTGTTCTCTATCGCCAAATCTGTAATCTAAATCTCTCCAAAATGAACACACGATGGATGTCACTCCTATTCCTTCAGTTTTGGCACTGACACTAAGATGGTGACATGAGAAAAGTGCCTTTAAGATGGCTGCCAAGATGGTGTGCCAGCTAAAAATACTCCTATCAGTCAGAGACCCAGATATGTCACAACACACACAACATGGCAAAAATATAACCTTTAGCACTTCAGTTAATCACAACGCTGCCTGCTGAAAAATCATGACAACGAATGGATTAGGCATAGGTAAAAATAACTGAATGGTATTCGGTAAATAGGGTTCTCAGCAATGTCCAACATGTTATAGGGTTATCCAATGCATGGTTCCTGAAATAATATTGAATAATATTTTAGAAATCATTCAAATGCTTTAATATCAGCCAAGGCAGACAAACAAAAACAACACTTAATATGAGACAAAAATAGCATTGGAAAATATGAGTAATAAAACACTGACAGTACATGAAACTGATACAACGCCCATGCTAAGAAAGCAGACCCTGTGATGCCAAGAACATCTGACACCTTAAGTCTGCCAGTTTCTAAAATGGCTGATGTCTTTGAACTGCCAAAGTCTAAAATGGCTGCTAATAGAATGACGACAAAATATAATGATGAGGCTAAAAATACCCTCGTGACAGCCTTAAGACCTAGATATGTCACACAACAACAACAGCAGCTGCGTGGTAGACAGAGGACAGTATTCTTCAGCAAAACAGTAACAGCCTGCTGTTGGGATAACAGCTAATGGGAGATTTACTTTCAGCATTTTATGGTACCAACCATATTACCTGACAACCTCTTGGATTTAACATTCCGCAGTAAAATACTAATAAAAAACATGCAGCTCTTCACTAATACTAGTCAAAAATGGAACAAATTTTATTTGTTTTTAAAGCACTGCAGGGACCTAAACAGCTCGCATCGCAGGTTGTATTCCATGCCCAGGCTAACCAATCGTTATCAGTTGATCAGCTTTTTTTCAATATTTGTTGTGTGTGTGGCATCTTCAAATGTCTTGTTTCGTCTGACAGTCCAGAAGATGGTCAATTTATGAGAAAAAAACCCCGTAAATCTTCACCTTTGAGAAGCTGTAATCAGGGAATTTCTTGGCTTTTTTTGTTTGAAAAATTATTTATTGAATGCTTAAACAATTAACTATATTTCTATATATTTCTGAGGTTTCTGTGAATCAACCACCTCATTGTTTAACTGATTCTTTAAAGCTCTTGTGCTCTATGAATAACTATCTTAACAGTCAAAATGCACAACAACTAAATATATGATTTACACTTTCATTTGACCAGAAATTACATTGGATGACAATGTCTAAAATACAGTGCAATCAAATGCAACAAATGCTACTTTTGTGAAGCTTAATGTTGAATCTGCATCAGAGAGGTTTGATTTAATGGTAATTTTAAGGCTGTATAGTTTGTGTCCATCATTATTCACTCATTATTAAAACATGTTGTGCACAAGGGACCAGCTCTACTGCAGTTTACATGCCTTTTTTTCTCCTGCCTTATTAGACAGTAGTACACAGTGGAAAAGCAAGTGCAAAGAGAAAGACACAGAGTGAATGGCATGCCAAATAGATTTGGAGTGGTTGTGGCTGACAACATTATGAGTCAAGAGTATGTGCTTTAGTCCACTGAGCCACAGAGCCCCAGCCCATGAATGTTCAACTGGCACAACAAACGTTGCCAGCGTTGCATCTACACCCTGCCATGCTGGCTAGTGCCAACATCAACCCCCAGAGAGATTACATAGAATAGTTTTATCTCTGTTACGAAAACTGCCAAACCATCCCTCCACACTCAATACTGCCTTAAGCATAAATGGTGATTAGCAACTGTGACAAATCAATGCGGGTTATAAGAACAAAAGTATAATTGTTGGCTGAGCTATCAAATGACTAAAATGATTCCACGTTAAGCCCTAAAATTACTTCCTTTCTTCTGCCAATACCTTTGACAATATATAACCCTCTGAACTACTAATCAACAAAATAGACTCACTCCCAATGTTCCTCTTAACAAAGGGGATGGGTATATCTTTGCTTTTAGGGGTCAAAAGCCAAAAGGTTTAGTGCCTATGTTCTAAATCATGGCACACCCTCAGGAAGACTGGAGACAATTCTAATAATAGATATTACCAGTGTGTCCCTGGACAGGGCATTTAAGCTACCAACTCAACCCTTCACCCATCCCCTATTACTTCTTCCAAATACAAAACCTAGCCAAGTGCTGTATCTGTAATCCCCTCCAGCAACCTCATTTTCCACCCACAGCACCACTGTCCCACACCCTGCTGGCATTATTAACACATCAAATGTCAGTTCATGCTCCCGTACCTTTAGGCAACACTCTAAACCCCCCTTTTAGCAATCAACGTCTCCAAACCATTAACCTGGCATGCCGTCCCCATGCCCTGGCTCATTCCACTAGCTTCTACAGGCGTTAATGCTTTGCTAATACCAAGCGTTACCTCTGTGCTCTTGGGCAAGATGTTTAACCTCTTCAAACTGCCAACTCTACCCTCTCTGCATAGTGACACCACTTGGTATTAATAACACTAAATGCTAGACTTTGGATCAGTACAAATGGGCAAGGCATCCTACTCTCTTGTCATGGCTTAAATATATGCAAGACCACATGTACCAGACAGCAGGCATAACACACACACATTTTGGGAGGAAATGTGTGTGTGTTTGTGTGAAACACGTCAAGTGCTGGTGTTGAACTGAACCTTTCTCTAAATGTCAGCGAGGCTGGGTTGTCATGATGATAAGCATGAGAGATAAATAACGGCATTACATTGTCATGGCAACAAAGTCATAATCTTCCACAACAGAGGAGAGGAGAGGAGGGGGGATAAGGGGAGAGGAGATAAGGGAATAGGAAAGGTAAGGAAAATGTAGGAGAGGAAAGGACAGGAGAAGAGACGAAAGGAGATGGACAGGACAGGGAAGGAGAGGAGACAAGAGGAAAGAAAAGATGATGAGAGGAATGAAAAGGAAAGGAGACCAAAAGGAAGGAAAGAAGAGGAGACTAGATGAAAGGAAAGGATGTGAGCGGAGAAGAGGAGATGAGAGATAATAAGATCTCAAGCAAGTTTGTGGCTACATTTGAACATGGTTTCTTCACTGTGGTTAACGCCATAGTTCATACAACAGTCAACATTCTCACTCTGTGGTTTTAATTTTGTAAAGCCAGTTACCAGCTCAACATTGCATAGCTGGATATTGTTACAACATTTTGCTTTTAACATTGTAAAGTAGGCAACCTTCCCTGTTCCCTGCCGTTGATTAATGACCTCATATTCTGTTAATTAGACCCTCAGCCCTGAGGCAGAAAGATTTAATTTCCCCTTCATCATCATCATGGAGAAAAAAAACAACTGATTAAATAGGAGAGGAGAGGAGTGGAGAAGAGAGGAGTTGAGAGAGGAGAGGATTTCTTAGAAAAGAAGAGAGAGGGAAGAGGTGTGGATGGGATACAGAAGAGAATGATGTGTCAGTGGTGGAAGAAGCACTCCGATCTTCAAAAAAAAGTAATAAGTAAAAGTACTGATCCAACAATGTAAAAATACTACATTACAAGTGAAGGTCCAGCATTCAAACTCCTACTTAAGAAAAAGTACACAAGTATATTCGAAAATCAAAGTCCTTGTTCTGCAGAAAAACTGCCCCTGATACCAATATATATTACATGCTTAGATTGTTAATACGGATGCATCAATTTATAATAAACATTTTACCGCTGCAGCTGGTTGAGGTGCCGCAAGTTTTGACTACTTTACATACAGCTCTGTATTTTAGTCCAGCGGCTTCAAACTAAAGGGTCAGACCCTCTTGAGAGGGTCACAAAACAGATCTGGAGGGTCTATATGAACTTAAACTAAAACATGTATTTAAATTAAAGCATCTCAGAGGTATAAAGGTAAAAAGTCTATGTGGTGGAACTGCTAACAACTCGTTGAACACTTGATACATCACAAGCAGCCCCATCTAGACAATGCTTGTTTATAAGGGGTCACAAGCCAAAAGGGTTGGGAACCAGTGGTTTAATCTTTAATCTTTATATAACCTATGTTGTTTTCTGAAAAAGTACAATTAACCATAACTGTTAAATGAATGCATAACAAAGGAAGTCAAGTCTCACCTTGTGGCAGGTCTGGTGAGACGTAGGGCACTTCCTGTGTGTTGATGTGCGTCCAGTCAAAGTCATCATAGGGATCCTGCTGGTAATCACATTGAGAGAAGCCCTCATCAAACGTACAGCTCCCTGCAAAGAGAAACACAATAAGATTTAGTTCACGAACAATCAATGATTATTGACTGAAGTATCTCCATGTAATTAGTTTGAATGCAACATGAATTCCTCTCTGGTCTTATCCAGTAAAACTTTTGATTCTTTCCTGTATGTTGTATTTCTGTGCGAGGCTGTGTCTCAGCTCATTAACAAAACCACCAGGAGTCTGAGCTCCAACAGTCATCACTCAAGGCCAGTCAGAATCACCTCTGACTCAATCATCAGGGCCTTCGGCTGATCATCTGAGCCCATCACCACAGCCTCGGGACAACCATGTGTGAGCTGGCCGCCTGGGGCCCCGATTACACAGAAAGTCGCCCTAATAGAGAGAGACGCCACTTGTCCCTGACGGCAAGCTGAGATAATCAACTCGCAATGATATGTGGCTTGTACTGGCAATATCTCTGCACGCTGGCTACTGCTAGCTATCTGATTCATTGACCTACGAGAGATGCACGGCTTGTGTTAATAAAATGGCTAGGAGAGACATGGCTAAGAAAAGCCACTATGCCATCTGATTCAAGTTACTGATAGTTAGTGGGCACAGTGACGTATACCTTGTGCCTTTCTTGACATTGGGGAAAAAAGGAGTGGTTGATATGGATAAAATCTTGCATATATATAGTTTTATTATAATAATATGATTTAGTATACTGTACACAAATACACATAGGTAAAATATACAGAGGAAGGGTAATAAGCACTGGGTGAACATGCTATTTTATTAATCTGATGTCAATAAAACAATATAATGTTGGGATTACTACTGGTGCTTTAGGAACACTGAAAAAAATTAATTATGTTCCCCCGTTGAGCAATAGCACTGAAATAAGCTCAGAAAGTGTTATCATACACCAAACAACCAAATAATCTTGAATTGTGTATCACAATCATGATGTTATTTATTGCCCAGCTCTAGTATAAAGCCCAGGTCAACTTTAGCACAGAAACAAACAAATAGTAACCTGCATAGTTGAAAGGCCATTATTTAATGACTGGACTTGTTGGCCACATTAAATTTGCCAAATCTGGCTAAACCAAAACACAAACCACTAAGAACATTTAAATCTATTTCTCTTTTTGTGTGAAATGTGCAAATTCAGAGGTTATTAAACTTTCCTGTAACCCCTTTTGTTTTCTAGAGAGTGGAAGTCATGAAACCAGCGGCAAACCTCAACACCAAGACATACAGATGCCGTGTTTATACAATATCCACAACCACTTAGAAACCACTAAGTAAGAAAGTATACATGAGCAAGCCACCATGAAGTACTACAGCAACCAGCGCTGCCAGCAACATAAATCTCCTAGCATTCAGCTAGCACTACAGCTTTGTTACCTGTGTCCTAGAGCGAGCTGCTGTGATGGAGAGCAGAACGACAGGCCCTCAGATACCCCACTGATCTGAGCTCCCGCTACAGAGGGATACCAGGAGGTGACAGCCGCCGCCGGAGGAGAAACAAGTTAACATCAAACCAAGCGACTGTCTTCGGCTGCCGGCTGTATGGCTGGTTGTGACTCACAGCCCCAGAGATGCACTGGATCAAATTCCTCTCGGCGTCATTCTTTAAACTAGCCTCTCTACGTGCAACTCAATTCAATCCCATTCAATTCAATTAAGTCTTTGTCACAACAAGTTACCTCCAGTCATAATGTGAAAAATGCCGGGACATGTAGAGGGCACCAAGTACAGCACGACAACACGCATTTTTTCTACTCCAAAGTATTCTATTATAAACTCAACTTTATACAGAATCTAATTCTACTGATGTCTAACAAATGCTGCTATGTGTGTGTGTGTGTGTGTGTGTGTGTGTGTGTGTAAATCTCCATGACTTCCTGTCTCCCACAGTGTGTGTGTCACTTTACATCTTGCTGTCAGGTAGCTCTCTCTGCATGGGTTAAAAGAGCAGAGTGTGTAACTCTGGGGTGTATGTTTGTGTGTTGACTGAAATATACTGCATCTACAAACTACTACAAAACAATAGGAACTACTATACGGTTTAAAACTCCATGCAAAATACAACATATAACATATAGTATGTTAATGGGTGCAGTACCAAAAAACAGTTTGTATATGTGTTTTATGATGGAAAATAATTTCATTTGTTAGCGATATTTTCCACTTTCTTAGTACAGAAACAACATGAGAGTAAAACTGGGCAACCCAGTCGTTTCATTATGCCTTTGTTATGCATTACATATTTGTTTGGATTAGTTTGTATAACCTCTCAGTAATTCCTTTGGCTTTAATGACTGTGATTAAGATATGCAACATTTTTGGTTTCTTCAGAAAGCTTCTAAATAAGGACAGCGTGTAGGATAATATCAGGGGTAGGGGAAGGGGCGTTATAATGGAAACACAAATTTTCAACAAATATTTTAACTCTAACTGAAGATACCTAAAACCACATCAACACCACACTGCTCTTTGCAGAACTGCTTACATGTCTGAAAGGGCCTTTTAATATTCTACTCAAATCTACATACATGATACTCATGATGGGTTGTGGAAGTGAGCACAGGCACAGAAGCACTATAGGGTTCTTTGTAAGAGCAGAGTCTTTGCTTCAAATTAAATTGTGTGTCTTTGTTCCGAAATGACTCCCAAAAGGCTCAATCATTCAGACATTCTGTAAAGATCATGTTCAAGTTTAATTAACACGGTGGGAGTGTTTAAAATGCTAGCTATGGTTGTTTAATTAATGTGGCCTTTGATTTGTTTGCAATCTATGATGAGACAAGACAAGCAGCAGCCATATATCAGTATCCAATATTAAGTTTGATTGCTAATGTGCATGATAACACTATATATTAGACTTGTTCAAAAGCACAGCAGTTTACCGCGAAGCTGGTCCTGAATGGGTGGCCGGTATTTAAAGTGTCAAAGTGTCAGATGGATGTTGAAGACAGACAGCCGCAAGAGGAAAGGTAAATGTCACAGCAACAGTTCAAAATGAATGTCAAGTCTTAGTAATATGTATATATTTTACAACATTGATTCAGTGTAAAAACAGATATGACACATGATTTATTCCTTGCTCACTGACTGGAGTTTTGTGCTCAGCGCTGCTGCTGGTGGCTTGGAACTACAATGTGACAATACTGATGTTATTTGTGCATATAAGTTTAGTGTAAAGCCTGTAAAGAAAGTCTGTGTTTTCTTGATGTTAAATTGCTAGGCCGCTGTTGACATGAAGCACTTAGCCTTGGTTCACCCACTGCAGCATTTGTTTGGCCTTGTTTAACCTTACTGAAGCTATACAATACATACAGAAACTCTATTTAGTTTGAAAGCTTTCTGTTGGAATTTCTGCTTCTGAAAGCAGTGTACAGCAAAACTGGATTTAAACGCCCCGTGTTTATAATATGTGCTGTGGGCTTTTAACTGTGTATACACGCAAACACTGAGTTCCACTCAGCTCTGATATAGTGCTGTGGTAGACGAGGTATTTTGCCTCGACTTAACAGTAAAGAAAAACATGTCCTTGCTTTAAATTCCTCTTTAATGACAATTTCAAGCTGGAATGAGGGACTTCTACATATAAATGAATGTCCACTACATTCAAGCCCTTGCCAAACAAGTTCACACACCAGGTAAATGTCTCTGTATTTGCAGTAAACCGGAGTGTTAAAATCTGCCCTGGCGCACCAGTAGTGATGCTTTTTACGTCAACCAGCAATGATGTTGAAGGGGGGAGCAACCCAAAAAAAAAAGGTAAATTGGAGAGAATGTTTATTGAGAATTGTTTATTTATGTTTATTGACTTTATATGCCCTGCGATGGACTGGCGAACTGTCCAGGGTGTACCCCGCCTTTCGCCCAATGTCAGCTGGGATTGGCTCCAGCCCTCCCGCGACCCTGTACGCAGGATAAGTGGTTGACGATGGATGGATGGATGGACTTTATATGGTCAAGTCATGCCAATAAAGCCACTTGAATTGAACTTTGAACGGAGATGATGCAACTCTTTCCCAACATTGCTCTGGAGTAACAGTAGCGTCAGAGTAGGCTACAGCTACTAGGAGAATGGCAGCCTTAGGTGAAAAAATCTAAGCAGAAGAAAAGAAAAGTTTCTGATGCTCCAGATAAAAGAGAAACTCAGCGTTCAAAGGAAGGGTTACAGTCAAAACAAGAAAGCGATCAACGGCGAGGATAAACGTGGATAACCGTTGGTGTAGCTTTTTCTCATTGGAGGGCAATGAAAGAAGAGAAGCGACTGAGGGCAGACACGTTGCATTACTGCTCTTGGAGAGGTTGGTATTTGTAAAATATTTAAACAATAGATTTTTGTTTTGGAACTGTGGATATTTCTAAACACAAGCCAGGCTGGAGCCCACCTGTAGGCACACATCATGAGCGTGCATCAACAGAGTTTGTGTAGTTACCCTCATTGCCAGGAGGGGAGACAAAAGTTACGCACTGCAGGTTTAAAAGAACATTTCTCAATTATAAAGCATTCCTCTCTTCCCAACTATGCACCTCTGGATAGACATTCTCACCGCTTTCAGCTGCTAACATACTAAATGTGTGTCTGCTGAAAAAGGCGTCTGCAGAAACAAAATATGTGTGAAACTGTCACATACACACACACACACACACACATACAAATCTCATGCTAGCTCGCCCACGTTCTCTGTTAACACTTCCCCCTTTCCTCAGTGTCCTGCCAACTAAAACCAACACACACACACAGCATCAGCAGACACATGCATCTGACAGATAATCATCGTTGCCAATAAACATTAAAGCAGACCTTGAACTATTACTTTACCTCTACTGGAAACAAAAGACCAAATGTTGCATGAAGTTCACATCTGTCTATCTAACTATCTAGCAAGTATCTATCCATGTTTCTTTAAACATGGATAGATACTCGATAGATTGGACTGGATAGATTGGACATGGATTTAAACAATACTAATTAAATTCTAACAATCACTGACATCTATTTTGCATTTGATAAGCTCTG